CTTAACCAATATGATAATAAGTAGATACGTTTATTACATCCAGAAGATAAGAATGAATGATAACATGAGTAAGAACATGAGCATGGAAGCTGTTTTGCTTGAGTTAAAAATCCCAACTTTATGCTGGGCTAATTACTTAACTTCTTTTTCCCTCAGTTTCTCACTTTAAAATGGAGACAATAATATACCTCTGTACACAGGATGGTTATGTAGATTAAGTAAGATAATATACAATACTTGAGAAATTAACACAACATCATAAACAGACTATACTTCAATTTAAAAAAAAAATCAGGTGCAAAAAACAAAACCCAAAAAAGGCTAACATACAGTGGAGGAGTGCCTCTGAAACTTTAACATGCACACAAACCTCTTTAAAATGCAGGTTCCGCATCAGTAGGGCTGGGGTGCCCCTGAGATTCTGTATGTCTATCAACGCTCCCGGTGATGCCACTGGTCCACAGACCAGGCTCTTTCATCAAGGTTGTAAAGCATTTAGAACAGCACCTGGCACACAGTGTGCACTGAATAAATTTAGCTATTATTATGCTTTCACACAGTTGAGTTGGCAGGGAAACTAGATTAAAAAGCCAACAATTTTCTCTCTTTCTCTATCAGCTGTTTCCTGACAATATTGCATCTTTGAATAGAATTCTGTTGCGTTCCGAGTTCACGTGATGAATGTGCATATGGATAATATGCTTTTCATTTTTAAAATCCATCAATAGCAGCACTCGGCACTCTCTTCGGATTTATGGTTTTAGGCTGTATTAAAATACTCAATACTTGGCGCATAGTAGGCATTCAAGAAATACTTATTGGATGAAAGAAATGTGCAGGGTCTAAGTAAATCATTCCTCTAGGAATTAATAGTGCTGTTGGAGACTGTTTTCATTTTGATACAATGGCATATGTGCCAAATCGTTATTTTAAGCATGTGGCAGTTGCGTTCCAAAAACCAAAGTATGTTTTTCCAGTCCGATGGCGTTAGATTCTAATACAACGCAGACTCTCACCCAACTACTACCTTCTTCCTGTGCCCTGCAGCCCAAACTTTACATGCTAACAGCGCCCTCTACTGTTCAGAAACAAGTCTGTGCTCCCAAATCCAATCCCTAGAAGTACAAATCAGAA